CAGTTGCCTGCCTTTGTGTGTGTTGCTACCATGTGCCCCAGCCTCTAAGCCCAAACCTCTCATTTCCCAGTACATTCTCTAACTTTCAGTTCTGTTATTCTCTACTTCAGATGTTTTCATTCCTCTGTGTTCTGGGGTCTTCAGTATTTGATGACTATGATAATCTCTTGAGTACTTATTACTCTGAGGTGAATGAGGAAAAGAAATGGAAGATGTGGTCATTGTCTTTTAAGAACTTCATACCACAACAGCAACAGAACTTTGCTGTTTTCTGGATATTATTCTTTTCTTTGTTTCTTTTTGTTTTGTTTTGTTTCTTTTCATGGAATGTGCTGAATGTCTATAATTTTGTTCAGATGACTGCAGAACCTGGAAAAGCTGTTGCTGCTATCGATGCATTACGTACTGCTATTATTAGTCTTTTTATATAAATAAATAAATACACACACACACACATACATATATATATAAATTGAATTTTGGGAAACTTTAACGGTGCTGCCAGTTTTGCAAAAAGTCATCCCAATTTACTATGTTGAGTTGGCATTGTACAGAAATGGACAGCCATATTGGTCTAGAAATGTTAATTTATTTTTATTTTTTATTTTTTTCCATGTATACAGGGGTAACACATCGTACTAAATATGTAAGGTCATATCTATGTGGGTTTGATTACAGAAACTAATAAAGTATTCTCTAAATAATGAAAAAAGAGGAATAAGATAAGACTATAAGAGCAAGAAGCAATTTAAATATGTTCAGGGACCATTTTCATCTCCAGAATTAAGGATTATTTTAATGTTACATCATTGCCTTTTCTCTTTTACTTTCCTTTTTAGTTTTATTTTAGGATTCCCTATTTTTAATGTTCATACAGAGAGTTCTTTAATTGAAATACCGAATAGCTTCTTTGGTGTGAAAAACTATAATAGTACACAGGATCCTAATGAGATAATTAATAATGTGAAATAGGAAGTAAAGGGCTAAAGGTGTAGGGAAAGTGGGAAGGGTGAGGGAAAGGTAATAAGGGAGAGGAAAAAAAATACGAGAAACTGAAAAAATGGAAATAAAGTGTTTGTAAATGAGGAGGGGAGGAGGAGGTGAAGGGCGGGCAGGGACAAGGGGAAAAAATGAGAATCAAGACCTGTTATGTAAAGGTACAGAATCCCAATGATGAATGTAACTGTATTGTACACCTAGATTGTACCAATAAACTCAATAAAAAGAAAAAAAAATGTATGACAAGAGTCAGAAAAAGTTCATGTCCACCCAGAACCTCAGTCTGTGACTTCATTTTGAAGTGGAGTCTTTGCAGATTTAATCAATTAAACATAGGACATACTGGATTAGGATAGACCCTTAAAAAAAAAAGAAAAAGAACTTAATATCTAGTTGAGATAATTTCTGTACATGGAAATTGTGAACAATAGCAGACAGTATATAATTAAATGCTAAATTGCATGGCACAGCGTTTTTAACTGTTAGAAGTTGGAAGAAAGGCAGAAAATGAAGACTTGAATTTTAAGAGAAAACCTAATTGAGGGAGTGCAACTTAAATTAGGTCTTGAAACAGCATAGGTTAGAATTAGGTAGGCATTTAAAGTGAGTAGTAAGCTGGATGAATTAATTTAGTGTGCATAACATTTTGGGGAAACTTTGGGGACTGTTTGTATGTTAGGGACTAGTGAGAAATAGAAATGTGTGAGAGAAGGAAAGAGTGCTTTGACTTTGCAAAATTACTGCAAGAGTTTTCAGGCATAGCCTTTCATTTTAAGTGTTCCTCAACTCAGAAATTTCTAGAAATACTTTTTTTTTTATTTTTATTTTTTTTATTGAGTTTATTGGTACATTTAGGGATACAGTACAGTTACATTCATTGTTGGGATCATGTACCTTTACATGGCAAGTCTTGATTCTCATTTTTTTCCCCTTACCTCTGCCCTCCCTTCACCCCCTCCTCCCCTCCCCATCTACAAACACTTTATTTTCATCTTTTCATTCTCTCACATTTTTTTCTTTTCCCTTTTTGTTCTTCCCC